CAGTCTACTCTGGTTTTTAGCGAATAGAAACCGTTGGTCGAGCTGTGCGGGCACAGAACCTCCTTTCTATTTACGTCTGATATTGGTTCTTGTTGGGAGGTGGGCAGTTCGTACCTCCACCTTTTAATACGAACCCCCACCAAAAAGACGATTCCCTGTCCTGTTGTTGAAGGATGTAGCTCCTCTCCAACATGCCCCGGTAACCTGCTTTCGTAGGAGGGGAGTCGGTCCTGTGAATGTACCAGTACCTCCCATGGAAGGTCGTTCTGTTATTTGACTTCTTCACTTACGCCGGTCCGTTGTCTCCCCACGATTTCTTCTTCGGTGTAAATCCACTCCTCACCGGCTCGGCAGGAGTGACTGGAATTAGTGTATATTTTAGACACCTCCCTCGACTTCGAAGGTCTCCGGTTCGTACGTCGGAGTTTTGGACTTCCTAAACCTAAACCTGTCCTGGAAACGTCTCTCCTCACCTGGTGTTAGGAAGGGACTCTTACACGTGTTTGGTATCTCTGAATCATTCAGATGTTCATTGGCAAACTTCAGACGGTTCGTTCATGTGTCTTCTTGAGCAGGGGGCCTTGCGGGCGCTGCAGGATTTGATCCATCATGGTGTAGTGTGTTACCAATAGTTTTCTTGGTGACTGTGGTCCCAGCTGCCTTGAGATCATTAACAAGTTCCTCACCTTTGTCATGATCATCAATACCCCACGGGGCGAGATCTTGCGTGGAGCCCCAGACCGAGGGCGATTGATTGTTGATTGATGCCCATTTTCTTTCCTTCCATTTTCAAATAATCGCAGCAACAGTTGTCTCCTTCTCACCAAGCTGCTTTCTGATGGTCTTGTAGCCAATCCCAGCCTTGTGCAGGTCTACAATCTTGTCCCTCGGGTCCTGAGACCGCTTTTTAGTCTGTCCCATGGTGGAGAGGTTGGAATCTGATTGATTGATTCTGTGGACAGGTGTTTTTTATACAGGTAACAAAGCAGATATTATGAGTACTTTCCTAAAAGAAATGGACTTATGTAACATGTCTGTGGGAGCCAGAATTCTTGTTTGTTGCAAGGGGATCAAATACTTATTTCCCACAGTTAAATTCAAATCAATTTTTATCTTTTATATAATTTCAATTTCTGGATTTTCTTTTTGATATTCTTACTCTCACTGTTAAAATAAACCATTACAATTATAGACTGTTCATTTCTTTGTAAGTGGGTTCACTTACACAATCGGCAAGGGATCAAATACTTATTTCCTCCAATGTATTTGGTCATGAATAATTATTTGGCCACCTGTGGGGAAAATGTGTGAACTGGATACACCAACATATCATTACTTTTTATGTTGGTGTTGCTTGATAACTTAGCATTATCATTTATTCAGGGATTCTGACCACCTGTCAAATGTTAGTGCAATTTTTTTTGTTTAGGTTTTTGGTCTCCATCTACTGCAGAAGGATATATCCGGATCTTTAGCTGCTAAATGGTCCACTGTGTTCACCAGCTATTTGCTAAGCAGGTGGATTGTTAGAGCTACTTTGTTGGAAACAGCTGCTGACACTGCTGTAGCCAAACAACTCTACAACAGCAGTGAGAGTGAACCAAAAGTGTGAATTTGTGGGCCTTACAACAACACAATAATCGGAAACTCACTATAAACATCCATAAAGCCGATGGGAGTTTCAGAATTGGGTGATCATTACTTATTACTTCATCATGGTTTTCTTTGAGATACATTGTTACTATGGAATATTGGTGATAGCTTCATCAAGGCATCAACAGAGTTTATACATTTCATGGCAATCTATCCAATGTTTCTTGAGATATTTTTGTTTGGAGCAATAGCTAATATGAGATCCATCAAAAACTATTGAATTATTGGATCTGTTATCATCAGTATTTATCAGAAACAAATAATTAAACACCTCAACCTAAGGACAAAGCATATTAATCTGACACAAATTCAAGTAGTTTAAACTTTAAACCTGGGCTAACATGAGGCTGAAATAAAATAAAGATTAAATTGTGGACAGTCACATCTGTAACACAATCCAGAGAATTCCACGCTTCATAATCTGCTTAATAGACATCAACAGATTGCTGCTGTCAGTGCCTGCATGTGGTTTGGGGTTTTAATTAAAAAAATTAAAATGATATGTGTGTTTGTACCCAAAACATCTGCGCCATCATCACATAACTGATGACAGACAATGGCTAAATATTTCGAAAATGTCAGGAACCGCCTGGGGACTCGACCAGATATTACATTATGTCCTCAGCATACGCACTGCTTCAGATTTTAAATACCAGTTGCATGAAACCTTCTGGAGAGCTTTAACTGTTGCAATCTGAAGATTTATTCAAAGAAATACACTTTTCCCCAGTTCCCTTTAGTTTCCACTTTTGAGTTTGGATTAAGGAATTTACGGATCATCAGTTTTTAAACTCTCCAAATAACGAGCATGTTATTTCATCTAGAATTATTAAGCAGACGCAGACATAACATGAATCTGCATCACAGATGATGATGTAAGACTAAACCTACATCATTGCCATGATATAGACTAGTCTATATCATGACAATGATGTAGGTTTATTCTTACATCATCATATAATTTTTAGTCTTAAAATAAAACATATATATATATATTATTTTTGGGAGTAACTCTAGCAGTGTATAGACAATTAAGAAAAAGTGATGGACAACATTATTAAATGTATAAGGGAAGTGTCCATCTAGATCAGGGGTGTCCAAACTACAGCCCGTACCAGCCTGTGGAATATGGCCCACACGTGAAACTTGTGCATTTCTTATTTTTTTCTTCCTAAATATATATGTTAACATATATTATAAAGTAGTATTCTTGTGTTAAGAAGCCCACTTTCAAATAAATGTGGACACTCCTGATCTAGATCATTGGCAAGAGAAAAGTGCATTTCGACCCCAACCTTTGACCTTTTTAAGGAGATATATGAGTGGTAGAGCTGGACTGTCCGGAAACAAGAATCAGCTTTATTATTATTAAGATGTCAGTAAGGAAATGTATTACATTCAATCAATTAATCAAATGTTACTGATATAGCCAAATATTTAAAATTACTATCTGTAAAACATACAAAACTGTCTGCCCTTTGATTGATTTGAACAGTGACCAACTCCCCCCCTCAATAAATGAATGGTGGAATAAATGTAAGAAACCTCAGCGAGAGCAACAGAAGACAGAACACTTGACCAGGTTTTTACTTTATTCGGTTTCTATTTTATTTAAGGTTAAGTGCTAATTTTATTACATAATTGGTTGCTAAGTCAATAGTAAAAGCCTCTATTAAAATGTGCAGAGTCAGTGTTGTGATACTTACAGCATGTGTTTGTCAGCCTGGAGCATCCTCTAACTGTGAGAGAGCAGAAATGTCTCGGTAGAAACAGTCTTAGAACGCCCTCTGTTGGACTTAATGTGTGTTGCAGGTTAAGTAAGGCACTATACAATTATATACAGAGTATATACTGTAAAGGGGTCTTCTTCCAATCATCCCCTCTCATTGAATATAAATAAATCATGCAAAATGATTTACTCCCACACCATGTGATTTGAAATGTAGTGATTTATTCCATGCTAAAGCTTGATCAATATAAACCCCCAGAAAATAACAGTAATAAATACAGCATATCATGATAGAGAAAATAATTTGCACTTATTAAAAAAGAAAAGACCTCAAGTAATAACAGAGATAGGACATTTCTCAAAGTGTGGAGTGATTCAGAACAGACTCTTATCGGATCGGAGTGTATCGGTGCAGATAGCGGTGAGCCTCCAGGGGGGAACAGATTGGAGATATGTTGGATACATTCATCGTATTCAGTCAGTTATTTATGCGCAGAATCAGAAAAATAATCATCAGAGGTTTCAGCAAGGAAAACAGATGTTTGGGAGTGTCATCATGCAACCCCTGGACAGCAGATACCCTTTCACTATTACAGTTGGAATTAGAGTAGAAGGATTGATTGCATATCTAAAAACTGACACCGTACATTTTAATATTGTGATTCTTTCCAGTGTTTACATTAGTAATCTCTAACTAGGCCCAATAAGGTAAAAAGTGAGACACACAACTGATACTCAGTCGAACATAACAGAGGCAATGAGAAGGTACCTTTTACATTTCCGATAAATAAATAAATGCTGCATTTCTTCTGTCTTAAAGTTATTTGATATTTGAGCCTGTCTCGGAAAAAGTGCTGAAAATTCTAACGGACACACACATTCTGCAACGTCTCAACAACACACTTTGGTTTTCAATTCATACACATCAGAACAGATGGATGCAGTAAAAAAAAAAAATCATTCAGTAGTAAGCACATGAGATTTTAGAGCAGATGTTCTAATAGAAAACACCAGCAGCTTTAAATGAATTAACCATCACCACGTTAACATTTAAAATAAACTGTAACCAATCATGTAGCTTTTAAATCTTGCCTTTGCACAAATATTGCAGCAACTTTGTCAACTTTGTCTCAAATGACTTGCATTAAGACACAAAAAATTGACATTAATGCTCGTCTGGTTACTATTATGTCTCCACTGCACCATTAACTAGCTTTATAACTCCTAATCAAATTGGTGTAAAGAGTGTAAACATAAGATTAGAATAGTTTTTGCTGCTCTGGATCTTAAAAAAAATAAAGAAGCCAACCCTGTGAGGAGATATGTGGGTGTTAGGAGGGAGGAAGAGGAGCAAAAAAAGTGTGAGAGAAAGCAGAATACAGGAGAAAGAGGCAGCTGTCCAGGCCCCGCAAGGCCTGTCTTCCATCTTCAAAGGAGCAGAGATAGGCCTGTCCTCCCCCCGTCCCCCTGTGGATGATACCCGTCTGCTGAGCAACGATAGGGCGCAGCGACTAACACGCACCCACTGAGGGTGAAATTCAGCGGGCAGCATCTGGGTGTTTGTCTGCGTCCTGCTGTGTGCCTCGTCTCTGGGTGCACACACACACACACACACGCACACACACACACACACACACACACACACACACGCAAAGCTCATTAAAAAAGTCCAACCATGCAGAGGAAACGGGGGACAATTATCAGAATCACTCAGGTTGGAACCAGTTTCCAAAATCGAGAGACAAACAAAACTTAAACGGAAAGTTAATAGATGAAGATGTCCCGGGCCGTTTTGAATTAGTCGTGATAAATAGCCAAAGTCCTGATTCGAGACCTGTGTTTTTGCCCAGTACACTCATAATTAGATTCCTCGTATCTCAATATATATTTTCTAGATCCCTTATAAAGGGCCTACCTTAACACTCCAAACACAAAAGACCAAAATGTCCGCTCAGGTAGGGGAACAGAACTTGAAAAAGCTCCAAGGGTTTCACGTATAATGTAGCAACCCTTACATCTTAGTACAATACAAGATATAAATTGTATTATAATATAATTAGCAAGTTTAGTACATTTTACATTCCCATCCTTTTCAGTGTCAACCGTTTTCCGAGGCCTGGTCACGGCAGAAGGTAGCACAGCAAAGTACGTTTTCATTATTGGTAACTTTTGTTTGTGTAAAATGTCACGGAGCCCATAGTGGTGTCTTCAAATTACTTGTTTAGCTAATCAACAATCTGAAACACAAATGCAGTCAATTAACCATCATTGAGAAAGGAGAATAAAAGAACATTTGGCAAGGGGTTATTATTTGCCATTTTGTTCTTTTCATCAAAACAGTAAATAATCAATAAATGTAAAAACTCTGGGAGTGATTATTGACAGATAGATAACTCAGCTTATTTCCACTTGCTCTGTGCCTTGTTCTCAAGATCTGAAATAGTTTTAATCAATAAAGGATTCCAATATAGAGGGGGGGGCTAGAGCTAATCATAAGCAAAACTCATTAGCTTTGCCGCTAACAGGACAACGAGTCAGTATTTTCAAGAGACGTATTCGTACCAACGACACCTGTTGTATAACTGTCATAAATCCCTGTTTTAAACTTATTATCAAGTCCAACTTCTGCACTGATTCCATTGGAATTATTGATTTTTGCCACAGTGTTGCGTTGTAGCTGCTGTAGTGACCAGACCTTCAGAAGGAGAAAAGGTTGATTAACATTCTGACCATGACTCATCAAAATAAGATGTACGTTTCTCTTTGCAAAACCGCACAAACGCAGCTCTTTGGTACATTCCACTACCCAATGAAATGTAAGAGGCATTGAAACATAGATTAAGACCTTAAATGAATCATATACATACAAAAATGATAAGTACTATGAATACCTGAGAATGATAATTTTTTAAATGAAAAAGATAAATGGTGGCTTGGGGGTGGAAAAATAAGTGGGCTAAACTGTAGTCGACAGAGAAAAGAGACTCTCCTCACAACATTACATTCAGTTACATCAGCCACACCTTGTTTTCCAGCCATTGCTGATCCAAAACAAACGGGAGGGAGAAACGCAGCAATCAAGGAGCTTTTCTCTCCATCTTAAGAAGTAATATGTGAAAACCCTTAGGCGTACACACACACACACACACACACACACACACACACACACACACACACACACACACACACACACACACACACACACTTTTTGTTTTGAGTTCCACTGGACTTGTTTCACAAGACTAAAGCCGGCCCTTGTCTTTGTAGCACCAGCTGATTAGTCTCGTTAAGGCCAGCTCGTTAGGAGAGGGCCATCTCCGTGGCAACAGCTTGGTGACATCATGTCTGTTGTGACGTCATTAGTAGGACATTTGTTTTTGGTTTAAAGAGTCAGCAGCAAGGCGTTGTTGAGGAGTGTGTTCAGTTCCATGCCTGATTTGTATTCCTCTCACCCTTTGACGTCATTTTTAGGCCGTGTTTGTTAGCTAAACACATTCCCACACGTCAAAACATGTCAGTAAAACTTGTCATCGATGCGGAAGTGCGGCCTGGTGACATCATCAGGGTTGAGAAAGACTGATATGGATTTCCCAGGGTTCTCAGTGACCAGCTGCTGCAGTCGCTGCGCCAGCTTGTCCTCCGACGGGGAGATGATGCCGCTGGCTGGGTTGTGCCCGGGGGACCCGTGGCCGTTGGTGCTAGCTGTTAGCTCCTTCTTCAGCTGCCCCGCCTGCTGGGCCTGATGCAGGGCTGCCCGCAGGTGCTCGCTGGGATCTGATCGCAGGTGGGCGAGCTTCCTGGCGACGAGCAGCGCCTGGCTGTCTGTGAGGTGCTCCAGCATGTTGCACTGGGGCAGGAAGTAGTTCGGGCAGTTTTTACCCAGGATGCAATGACCGAGGTCATCAAGGAGACCTAGGATGAGGCGGCCGGCGGTGTCGGGGTCAGAGCACGACAGGTAGGAGGCTGGAAGTCGGTCGCAGGCCCAGAAGAGGAGGGTACGCAGATGATAGAGGCTGAGGCCACGGCGAGGTCGGGAGAGGATACGGGACAACACAGCCTTCGCTGCTTGGAAAGCCTGGGCCATGGGGTACGGGATGCACTTCTTCAACTGAACCTGGAAATAAGAGAAATAGAGGACCAATCAATAAAGACATATGTAGACAAGACACGTGAACAGTTTGCTAATCTGACTCCAAAAAGGTGTAACAAGCTCCCAATTTATATCAGGACAACAGAAAGTCTACACATCTTCCAGAAAGACAGAAAACTCTTTAGTTTCGTCTGGACCTTGCATATAAAATGTAATAAAATGTTCAAATTTCTGTATGTAGTACTTAAAAAAATTGCTTTCTTTGATCATATGGGCATATCTTTGCCCAAGAACTTGAAGAATGTAACACAAAGGCAAAGAAAGAAGACCAGATGGAAGCATATAGATGATTTAAACCTGATACATTGTGGTTAAACCTGACACCACATTAACAGTCCGCTCACCTCACTGCGGGAGAATGCCAGCCTCCACTCCCTGTCGGGCCGGCCACCCAGCGGGGAGCAGCAGGGAAGCAGATAGAAGCCCGATATGGCTTCCTCCTCTGTGATTTTACCATCCCAGAAGTGGTTGGCCGTCAGCCAGCCTTGAGCCACGGCAGGCCAGCCCCGGAACGACACCACGGGCAGGAGGTCGTACAGCACCCGGCTCGATCCCGCCTGCAGGGAGGGAGCGGGGGACATAACTTTAACAAGAAAACTCCGGGGAACCTTAAAGATCTCCTATCATGCTATTTTTAGGCATAATTATGGGTCTCAGATATATAAAAACCATGTCTATCGCTCAAAATACCAAGCAGATCATCAATTTTAGACATCGCTCATATCCCTCTATTTCAGCCGTGTTAGAGAACTGCTGATTCTGGGTCCTTAGCTCAGAATTCTACCGAGATACAGCTAAATGCTGCCGTGATTAAACGCCATATCATGTTCCAAACCACATCAAGGATTATTTCTGAAACAGTTTGGAGCTCAAATGCTTTTTCTCTTGCGGGTTTACCATAAGGTGAGTTCCTTTTTTTATTTCCTGCTTTTTTACACATTCTCTCCAGTACAGGTTAGCTCTGAGTGTTAGCGATGCTTGCTAATGTAAACAAAGACCAAAACACGTCGCACATTGTTTCTTATAGCAACGTTTCTGCGAATAAAATTAGACTCTGTTGCTCCTTTTAGGGTATATGCAGGAATCCTGAAGTCAAATTTAATACCTTTTAAGACCTTTTTTAAGACACTTTCCATACATTTTAAGACCTCATCGCAACTTTGAGTTCTAACCGGTTACATTGACGACACACTTTACCTCACATTTACTATATTGATTGTAAGATAGCACAACTAAACAGAGTGCAGACAGACTACTGAAGCCTCCTTTCCACGTGAACTTAAACCTCTCTGTCAAGGTCAGGTTTAATGCAGTATGCTGCTTTTTTGCTTCTGTAGACTGTGCTCTTTCATTCCAGTAAATATCCTCAGTCAGAAACCATTAGAAACCAGTATTTGACCAATAAACAAAACAATTGACAAAACTTTGAACTATGAAATATATTCAACTTTGGTGAGCTTCAGCGGGGTAATGCCATATAGGAGCTCCCTCACAAATACCCAGGGGTTAAATTGGGCTGGGGCTGCCCAGGGGTTAAATTGGCCCGGCACATTGGACGATGCTCTGACGTTATCACCCTCACACATTTGTCATATGTTTACAAAAAACGATATATATGTTAAGACTTTTCTCGTTCTTAATATAGACTATATTTAGAGTCGATATGTGTTGACTTTACTTTAAAATAGCAGATCTCTGTGACCGGATATAGTTCGGCTTAGACCCCGGCCCCACGAGGACGCATACGGTAAAACGCATACGCAAGCGCAAAAAAGGCTTCCGTTCACACGTATTCGATTCATTAACGTGTCCGTTCACACTAGACCCCTGGAAATGCTGGAAACGCTGTAGTACATATGCCAGGCCTGTAAGTGGCGCTGCTCCCGCCACAAAATACACCAAAAGCAGCGAAGAAGACCCCGGAGCATGGTTGCCATGGTTGCCCTTCTGTTTATTCTCCGCGGTGGACGGCGTGTTCTCCTGCTGTATATCTCTCAGGTA